TCCCACGGCAGCCGGGGATGGGGGGGCTGCCAGTTCTGCCCGTCCTGGGGGTTGCTGTCCCTCCGGAGGGCACCTGGGCATGGTGGGATCCGGCCCACCGGAATCAGGCCCACCCCATGGAGAAGGGACCCAGCGCTCCCATGGGATACGGCCAGGCCCCTGTATCCAGCCACTGGAGCCCAGCACAGACCAGTAACCCCCAGCTGTGCCAAGGAGGGGATCCCTGGCGATGTGAGGAGTGTGGGGAGGGCTGGGATGGGTGGGAGCAGGGCTGGAGCAGGAGCAGCACCCCCAGAGTGGGGTCACCCCATCAGGAATCACCCACCACGTGTGTGTCCCAAACACATCCACTCCCTCCGGTGCTCCGGCTTTATTTGGGAGCTTGGAAAAGGGAGGGGCAGCTGCCCCCAGAGGGATTTTGGGGAGTGGGGGGGCTGTGGGACTCAGCTCAGGGCAGGGAGGGGGCGGCTGAGCCCCTGGCTCTCTCCTGGCATGGGGCTGTTCCCAGCCGCTGGCATTGCTCCCGTCCTCCGGCATCACTTCCCACTGCGCTGTTGGGTGTTTGGAGCATCCTGGGGGGCCCTGCGTGGGGGTCCCTGCCCAGCCCGGGGATCCTGCTGGGGCTCTGTTGTGACGTGTCACGGCAGCAGGACACGGCCGGGGTGTCCCGCGGGATGTGCCGGATCCGGGTCCTCCCGCCGGGCTCTTCCCTGTGGGGACAAGGGCAGTGCAGCACAGAGTCCCAGGAGAGGGAGAGGCCATCCCGTCCCCACTCCCACCCCATCTCCATCCCCACACCATCCCATCCCATCCCCATCCCCATCCCATCCCATCCCCATCCCCATCCCCATCCCATCCCCATTCCAGGGCTGTCTCTGTACTCACTCTCCCGCCTGGCTGAGCCACATCCTCCTCACGGGAATTCCAGGGCATGGACTGTGACTCCTGCGGGACAGACACAGGGTATGGGAGCCACCAGAGCCACCGGACACCGGGGGGGTGTCACCACCCCCCCTCTGTCCCGCATCCTGCTTCCCCCATTCCCGATCCCGGCTCACCTCGCTCAGGACGGAGAAGCAGCCGGAGCAGGGTCTGTGCGGCCTCCGCCGGCCCTGGGGGGAAAGGCTGGATTGGGATCTGCCAGAGCCCAAGGCAGTGGGAATGTGGGCAGGACACGGAGCTTCCCAGGGAACTCTCCCCATGTCCCCCCCCTGCTCTTCCCTCACCATCCCAATGGGATCCTGTCCGGTTGTGCAATCCCGAGGGGTCGGAGCACTGAGCTCACCCTCATTCCCAACACAGGGAAGGGGAGGCTGGAAAAGCTGCTCTCAGGGATGTGGCCTGGGGGCCTGGGCATGTGACCGGTGTCCCCTGGGAACCGGGATGGGGGGCACGGGTTGGTCCCTGCGGTGCCAGGGAATGTTCCCCTCCCTCGGTGCTCTCCCTGCTCCCGGCTCCGTTATTCCCAGCCTTCCCCTGCTCTGCACACAACCGACCTCTCTCCCCT